CGACTCTAATGGCCGATAACCTTCTAGCCGAGTAAAAAAGCGAACTTGTCGTCCAATCCAGCCAATCTCCTCTGCGAATAATCCATACTAGGCCCGTTGTATCAGCCAACAACTTGTGTAACCGTCTAAAAATGCGTTATTTGTCGACCATCCGCCGGGACGATTGAAGAGGTGGTAGTTTTCTTGAACTCCGCGCTGACAACCACCTACCCTTGCATTAACTGCTCTGGTAAGGTCATCATTGCTCTAGTCCTTAAAGTCTTTATGACTTATCAGGCTCCGTTAGCACCAGGCAACTACTGTCGCTTGGCACTAGCCACCTGAATGGTCCATCTTCGCCAGTGGTCGAAACCTGTTAGCTGTATGCCGAGTCAGCTGCCAGTCTGGACTCCGTTCAAGTTACCTATCTGTCCTTCTGATCCTCTATAAAATGAAGCCATGCAACTCAAGATAAGGGGTCTGGTTTTTAAAGCATAACTTTGAAACTTTCGTTATCATCTCATACTTTCCCACTCAAATTCATATACTAACTTATATCGTCGGAGGAACAACCAAATAATCCAACTCCATCCTCTCACGAGTTTTTTTGTGCAGGAGAGGGTTGCAGGCTCTCGCACCAGCCATTTGAAGAAGCTTGAGGACCCTAACACTCTTTTAATTCACTCACAAATCCCCTGTTTGATAACTGCCATCAACAGTAGGAAATTTTGTTACATTTGTCCTTTTGTAAAAGACATTATTTACTGATTAGAAATTTTTAAGCTGCAGCAGTAAATTGAAGTTATAATCCACTAAACATGATGAGTTAGCATTGCATTTTCCAAAAAAAAAAAAAACCATTTTGTTGAAAGTAATTGATGTGTTTTTTTAATGAAATTGTAGAAATAGAGCTATTAATATACTTTAAAAATAAATGGATATAATACGATAGGCAAGAAATTTGAAGAGAACGAACAACAAATTGTTATCTCAATGAGAAGGTTCAGAACCAACGAATATACAATAGACGAAAGGGATACGGGTTATGGGCCTACTTAATAGCGGCATAGTCGCATACGGAGTGCATACCCGTTTGCAATAATAGTTGGGTTTCGACTTTTTAGTTCGGTTCGACCCGTGAACCCGACTTCTAACTCGCACTTCGACCCCATTAGCGGCCCAAGTTTCTCTCTCCTCCGCTCGCTCTCTAGGGCACAAAAATTGCTCCGGTGAAAGCGAGCTGAGCAGCGGTGAAGACGAAAATTCTCTGATCAGCAGCGATAAGAACGTAAGAGGCGGCAATGAGCGCTTCTTCAGGTTCCATTTCAGTTCTTTTCGGATCTTCTACTCTCTTTTTTTTTCCCCTTCGATTCCTTGTGTTTTCTGTGTCCATTGTTCTCAGCTTCACTGAAATTAGCTTATTTGAGTCGATTTTAGGGATTTTAGAGCAAGAAAAATATGTTAAGCATCGTTCTCTGCAATGTAGTCCAAGTTCTTTGTAGAGAGATGATTTTTTGTGATGAAATCAGAGAAATTTGTTTGATTTGATTAGGACGAGGCTGCGAATGGGGGAAAAGCTTGTTTCTTTTGCTGTGATTTAAAACCTTGTTGGAACTGAGCATGCTTACGGTATCATTTTCTTGATATATTGGATCTGAATACGAGACAATTAGGGTTTTGCATTGCCTTATATTCGATTTTCTGAATTGAACTGAGAAGCGAAGGGTCATGACTTCAGCTCAGGTGTTACTTGACTAAGTAGTTTGTTAGGGACTAAAGTCCCACATCGGGTAGTATGGGCTGCTTGATGGGGTATTTAAGTGACTTGGTTCTTCCCCCTTAACAGCTAGCTTTTAAGGGTGGGTTCCCCAAGTTGCTTGGATCCTCACAATTGGTATCAGAGCTGGTTGTCGGCGTCACGAAAAGGGCTACCTGTGAAGGGGCTGACCGGCGGAGGGGCTGACCGGAAAAGTCCGAGTAAAGCACCGCCGAGTGAAGCATCATAGAGTGCAGCCGCCGGGACGTCGGCTCTCAGGGGCGGTGCTATGTTAGGGACTTGGGTAGTATGGGCTGCCTAAAGTCCCACATCGAGTAAAATGGGAAACTTGATGGGGTATTTAAGTAGCTTGGTTCTTCCCCCTTAACAGCTAGCTTTTAAGGGTGGGTTCCCCAAGTTGCTTGGATCCTAACAATTGGTATCAGAGCTGGTTGTCGGCGTCACGAAAAGGGCTACCTGTG